ACTGTTCGAAGTGGATGAAGTGCTCACAGAGAAAAAACGCTTTGGCTGGAACGTCCGTCAAACATAGCAATAAATAAATGTTATTTATTTTTACTACACTTTATATATGCACTCGTATTATGCGTCGCCTACGCTTTGATACAATGGCTATTGATGTTTTTTGTTTTTTAAAATAAACTGACTTTTAACGCTGCGCTAAATGACGGACATAATTTAAACTAGAAAGTACAGAATTTCGCGCGAGGAAAGATTAAGATTTTATTTAATTATAGTTTTTATTATTACACAATAAAATTTAAATATTATTTAAATGAGCTACAAAATGTGCGACATTCCGATGGAATGAGTCATTAAAGCCTGTCAGCAGATGACGACAATGATAAGTGAAGGCAAATTAATTATTAAAGTTAATACGATAACGAAAATATCTTTTTAATAGCAAGATAAAACACATTTTTCATATTTGCGAAATGTTTCTTTGATTGCAATTTGTAATAAAATTTATCAGCGAGGAAGAAAAGAATAAAATTATTGCAGAAAATATCTCAAGATCAAATATCTCAATCAAATGATATTAATCAAGATTATCAGCTGTCATTTACTGATCAATTCCAATTTATAATAATTAACTTCTTAACGTTTTGTCATAAGTAAAATCTAAAATCTTCAACTTCTAATACTTTATCTCCTGTAATATTAATGAGAATCAGCAATATTTTTTCATAAATTATTAATCAAATTTATATATAATTTACATTTGTATATAATAATACTGAAGAAATTGTAAAAAGAAAAAGTAAGATCCGATTCTATCCGTAAGATTAACTTTAATCTCAGTTTAATTTACCCTTTATCTTTTTCTAATTCTAAAAAGTTAAATTCAATCAAGATTGAAGTTAATTTTATATTATTGAAAGCGGATCTTATAAGGAGTTAAAAAAGAAGAAGAAGAATAAAGACACATACAGAAATTTGCAACAACATTGCTGCAATATTGAGGGACTAATCAACTGTGCTAGGAATAAGACTATAAAGGTGTAAGATAAATATAAAAAAAATAAAGCTAAAAAGAGAGAGAAAGGGACTTTTTACACGTTTTACACGTTGAAAGTTTTTTTATACAAATTTTTTCCAATAATTAAATGTGTAAATATGATATTAATGTAAATAAATTTAAAGAATTAAAGGCTATGTGTGTGTGTGTGTGTGTGTGTGTGTGTGTTAGTTAGGATTAAAAAAATAAGGATAAATAAAGAAAAGTTGATAATATGTTAAGCGGCATCTACAATGAGATTTCAAGGCATAAAATTTAAACTTTAAGCCATAAGAAATTGACCACAATCATAGTCAATTATCCCTCACATTCAACTGTGATTGATCAATTTCTTATGGCTTAAAGCTCAAGTTTTACGTAAAATCTCATTGTAGACGCTACTTGGCAATGTTGGTGTGTTAATTAGCAGTTAACTTCAAGGAACGAATAGATGTATTCGATTAAAATTTAAATTGTAAACCAAGTCCCTTTTTGACAAGCAAGCTGAAGTAAATAAATTTTACATTTGCGTATAATAATTGAAAGTTCTGAAAGACGTGTTGTGTCTTTTCAAGACTTTACGATTCCTGGACAGACTTTCGAATTGCTGTTCGTCTGAAGAACCGAAGACGTTTTTGCGCATCGTTTGAAACTTTAGATACGTCAGTCAGTCAGATATCCTACGAGTCTGGCCAAGAACAATTTTATTAAGGTATCCTAGAGAAAGAAAGATATATATAATTTCTCCCTCTGTATTATATATACTATCTCACTGTAATTTATATTATCTCACTCTATAATCTTAATTAACGTTAAGCAACGTTTGTAATGAGATTAATTGATGATTTTAAGACGTACAACTTCAGCTTTAAGCCGTAGGAAGTTGAGCAAGTACAGTCAAATGTGAGTCTTAACAATCGACTGTAATTGGTTAATTAAAATATATCTTAAAAGCTCATTAAAACAATATAAGTTAGAATGAGTATTAGTATATATATATATACTAATATTTACAGAGAGAAATTATACATATCTTTCCCTCTCGCGCGCGCGTAGAATTTTAATAAAATCGTTCGTATGAATCATAGAGCCTCTATGTTATCTAGTTTTGTCAGACCGTTAAATTTCGTCATCGAGCCGACCTCTGACCGGCTTACGACACCAGCAAGATCTTTCACACGTAGGATGAGGCCAGTCCGAGTTCGGCTGGCGTTCTTTTATCGGGGAAACGCGAAAGACGTCTGCTGCGGCCCCACGCGTTCATAAACAATTTCGAAATTGCCATTCTCGTAAAATCACGGCCGTCAACGCCCGTGCTTCACAGTATTTCCGCGAAGCGAGCGAGCGTGCAGACGTATAGATCCGAAAAACCTACTCACCCATGTGAGCGAGGTCGATGATCGGGATCTCGCACTTGCTAAGAAGAGTCTCGCAATGGTGCGTGACCATGGGCGCGTTGGTGCAGTAACTCATCCTGACAACTGGATTCTCCTTGGAAATGGGTTGAGATTCCTTTTGTTGGTTGAGACACCGGATCGTTCCTTCCCACCCGTCTCTCGCACTCTTCTCCTCTTTCACTCTATCTCTCTGTCAGTGCTCTCGTCGTAGACCGGCTGCTCTCAACTTTCTCTCTCTCTCTCTCTCTCTCTTTCTTTCCGCACGCTACAAGAGCGATAGCAAAAAAAAAACAAATTATGCTGCTTCACACTTTGTGCGCGATCGACTCGGCCCACCCGGTATAAGGCGCTCACCACACGACTCACTGGAATATCCAAGAGAAAATCATACTACCACCGTGCATACACACATACACACACACGCACAAGTTCCGCGACTACCCGCGCGTAGATTCAAAAGGGCGAAAAACTCCTTGTGTCACATGCGTGAAAGCGAAAGAGCCACAGAGAAATATGGCTGCCCTAACGGTAGCCGTATGAGACGAGTTCGTTGCGCGGCTCGCGATGCGGTAAGCGGTGTACGTGGCTCCGGACTATTGAGTACATACTACGACAGCGTGATGGTGGTTTAAAGCAGCGATCACTCGGTTAACTATTAATGCGCTACACTCTCCAATCGACTGTACCGTCGCGCGGCCGCTCTCCAACTGTACGAACCATCGTTTCCGAGTCGAGCGTCGAGCATTCCGCGCGCTCACGAAGGCGCCCGATCGCAACCGAATGCTCCCGAACGCTCCCGAGCCACGTCCCGAGCGTCGTCCCGAGCGTCGTCGAAGATGGTGCCGCGGAAAATCTGCTACAGGCGAATCGTTTTTGCGATCTGGCCGCTGGCGTTTATTTGCTTAAAGCGGATCTGGACCAAAGCCGATTCCGCAACATCGAGGTCAATATTCTTACATTTGAGACTGTCCTAAGTACAGTCTTAAGATATCATAAACCAATTAAAAGAATGTATTAGCTTCTTAAGATATTACTTAAGACGGTTTAAAAAAAGAAAATAAAAACGGATTATTAATATCGCTTCGAGACAATGAAATCTGTTTTATTACATTTGCATTGACGGATTTTGATTTGCGTACGATTATCGCTGAAGTTTGAATTACCTCTGCTCGAAAACGATTATGCCGTATCTCAATGCAACTTGCTACAATATTTTTTTGTGTTATATATATTTCAAATTTTTGTATGTTTTTATGTGGCTTTTATTTTATTTTGTAAATTACTTTTAATATTGTTTTTTTTTAGCAAATTATTCTATTTTATAATATTTATGATATTCTGTTTAACTCGTAACAAGTGTATTAATTATTGGTTTGATGACTAAATTATAAGTTTTTTAAAAAAGTATATTAATCTAAAGACTTTTGAAATTCAAAATCAAGCAAAAAATGTTAAAAAAACAAATGAGACTCAGTAAGTTAGCACGACAATTATATTTAAAATTTAAATATAATTATTTAATTAATAATTTACACATTTTGATTTCTCTTTGACTCATCTTCAGTTGTATTTATATATTTTCATTGAAAATAATTCTCTCTTGCAGAGGAGCTGTAGATGATGTATCGCAATTATACGACATAAATTTATAAAAGCTAATAAGTTTAATATTAATATTTCTAGTATAATAATACGCGTAATTATATTATACACATGCGTCATCCATTTAACAAATACTCTGGCTTTTTTCGAAAAATAGAAATTTCTCTCAAATTATTGTATATAATCAATTTAGACAAAACTTTACTAGAATGAACTTAAACGTTTACTTTGTAATTATAACGTTTTTGAAATTTTTGTCTTATATGCAAATCTCTCAAATCAAGAAATGAAAAGAATAAAGTTTTGCATATTGTAATATAAAATTCTATACATATTTTCAAAACGGTGCGATAAAAATCAATGGAATTTTTTCTAGATATTATTGATATAAATAACTTTATATCATATATGTATCATAGACTTGTCTTATTCTTATAAATGTGAGAATCTCCTTAACCGATAAAGAAAAAAGAAGAAAGATTCTACGTGAGATCAACATGTACTTAATCTATCAGTATTTGTTTCTTTAAAACATATTCGGCATAAAAGTGTTGTGAAAAGATGAAATTATTTTCACGTCTTCAAAAAAAAAAAGATTATTTTCATAATGTCCGTATTGCATACTTTGTATTTAATTCATTTCATACACGCACACAATATACGTATGATCTAAATCTTAAATAGATCGAAATAGATATTCTTTTCTCGAGTAATCAAACGTTGAGCTTATAGCGTTCTCGTCGTGAACTATAAACCTCGTTCGAGGGACCTTTCGGGTTCCTCCAGGACCGTACGTATTTTCAGCTTGCGAAAGTGCCGATGAAATGCAATAAGAGGAACATGAGTTCACTCATAGGACGTCACCAGTTCTATTACAGTCGTCGATCTACAGAAGAAGCATAGAAAGGAGCACGCGGGATTAATGTGTATCAAATTCCACGAACCGCTTTGAAGTCGCTTGCCCACAGTCTTGAACATTTTTAATGCATCTCTAAAATTCAATACATTCGACATAACAATTAGAACAATCATGATCATTGAATATTATAAGAAAGAAGTCATGAATCACAATTGTAACGAACTTAAATATTATATCACAAATTTATCATTAATTGAAGTGTATATAATAAAATTGCATCATGAAATCGAAGTTACATCAAAATTAGAAGTACTTGAATAACGTTAACGATAAAAATGACAGCACTCTACATTACCATTCGATTTTTTCAACTACACTGAATTTCTGATGTCTCGACTTTCGAACATCGATATATATAATTCAGATAAGAAATTTACTTATCTTCCACTAGATTATTTATCATCCAGTCAGTAATATGACTTACTTCTAATCGTAGCAATTAGTGTTTTGCAATTGTTAATACGCAGTTTGTTAGAAAGACAGTCACCGTTTTAATCGCTCTGAAGATCTATGGTTCATTAGTGCAAAGTGGCTTCAACGCGCACATTTGTTATGACGACATTCCACGGATATTTTATGCTCTTCGTGAACGCTCGGTTTAATCTTTGCTACATCCCAAGTACTATTAAGCAAAGTATCATATATTGTTATTTTCATTTTTGCTTACTAAAACAATAATTTTATCAAGGAATTAAAGATTACAATATTTACTTACACAAAAAGTCATTTTTACTATGAGATTTTATAACATTTTGTAAAGTAACCGGGCTCTATATTGCCTATCTAAATTTTTGAATTTTTTTCTCATTTTTTGCTAAGTCTAAAATTGAAAACTGATGATCAGATTTAAAAAAAAAACCATTTCTAAATATTAAAAAAATATTTTCAAGTATAATTGACATGAGTGTAGTAAAAAGTTCACGAAAAAGTAGCATTTATATGAATATGACCTAAATATATATCCCTCTCCTTTTCGTAAAAAAATATTTTAAAAAATAGAAAATAAAGTGGTCTCATGTTTTATAAGATTTTAAAGATTTTTTTATAAAACTTTTGAGATTATAAATTTACATATTACTCTAATTGACATATTGACATATTTATTGACATGTGAAAATACACAACTATTGAACTATTTAAAAAATTTTTTTAATGATACTAAATATTATGAAAAAAAAAATAAATTAAATACAATGTTGTAAAATATAAATACAGAGCTATAATAAAATGAATTATAAAAGTTAATAACCCATCTTTTAATAGTTATAGAAAGCAATTACTTATCTACGAAATATTACATTATGATCACTATATTTTGCATTTTTCTTTATTGACAATAACGGAATGTTATTGTCAATAACATTCAACACACACAAACTAACCAATAAATTGAATCAGACGGACAATCTGCACGATTTACAGTGCAATCTATTGATTTACTATAAATTCATTATAACTTTCTATTATTCACTGCACAAGTACTGAAATTACCTATTTAATATGTACATTATACATAATGCAAATTATAGATTTTCAGTATTCTCAGTGAATAATGGAACGCACGTAATTATCCACAAACAGCGAGTAAGGCATATTTGGTACTAAATCTTCTAGAATCCAATTATTTTATTATCATTACACATACACATATTTTTATTACAAAATTTTATATTAAAAGCATTCTTAAATCTTTTAAAAATTTGTAGATAGTTAATTCAACATTTGACTTAATTGTGATTAAATGTTAAAATATTAAAAAATAATTATAAAATGCAAATACATATAAAACAGCAATTAATTAAAAGCATTTAATTAAAAAAATATATAGTAACCTATTCTCTCTCTCTCTCTATATATATATATATATTTTTTTTTTATTTTATTTTATTTATTTATTTATTTATATCTCTACCACTTACTGATTTCCGTGATTCAAAATGGGATATCTGCATCCGACCTTAGACTTAGACGATTTACTTTTCCGGTTCTCCTTCATAAAAACATCTTTAGTCATCGATGGACAATGGTGCATGCTCGATTTTTTACGCCGAACGGATTTCTTAAGCGAAAGAAGTCGTGGCACGTAGGTCCTTGACGATGCGTTTATAATAGTGAATGGTACAGTGGGACATATCTGAGGAAAGGACGTTCGCAGAGGGACACATCTACGGGTTATCTGTGACAATGTGAAATTTATATGACAGAGCAATAAATAGACAATAGCATTCGTTGAATTATTATGGTAATTTGAGATGTTTTACAAGGTTTAGTTTGGCGTATTATATATAAAGTGAGTTACCTTTGACTATCTAAAATGTCTCATTTGTTTTTTTTTAATAATACATAAAAATATTATTTGTTTAAAAGGTTTTGAATATTATGATAAAAAAAAACAATTTTCTCAAGGGCATATTTCTGAGATTTCAAAGTTATCATCATTAACAAAAATAGAATTATATGATTTTTTTTCACAACATAATTTTTCAAGCTGTTCTGCACATAAAAATATTAAAATAGAACGTGAAATGGAGTATATAAATTAGTATTAATGTAAAGATGTATTCTAAAGAAAATACGTAGTGATTAAAAAAAAGTATTGTACAATTTACAATATACAATTACATATCTTTTTTGAAAAGCCACTACATATTCTTTACGCTAATTGATTCTTATTATTTTATGCATGAAAGTTTTAAGATATAAAAAAATAATAATTTGCGAAATTTATACTTTATGTCTAAATAAAGTATGAGTATCAATAATATATCCTTTAAATTTTATGTAATTGATTTTTAGATAATACTATTTTAAATATTATTATCTAAAATTAGTAGATTAAGTACCTACTTTTTATATATACATAATTGGAAGAATGTGTAAAAAAGTCATATAAATTCATTTTTTAAAATAAATATTAATTTTGACATACCAAAAATGTGATTTTAAGAAAACTTTTTATTATAATATATGTCTTTTTCAAATAAATAATGTTTTCCTTTAATATTATTTAAATTATTTTGTATCATTAAAAGCAAATGAGATATTGTAAGTGGTTAAGATAAATGACTCACCTTGTACAATTTAAATAACTGAATAATTCATTTTTAATGATAAATCTTTCAATTATTAATATTTCATTTTAATAATTGCGATAAATATTAGACACTAATAAATTTTCAATAGAGTATTTTTTAAATATAAAATATAAATTAAATTTTTGTTATTGAAAAAAGTGTGTTGCTATAATAATAACATTGTGGTGTAACTTTATTTTATTTAAACGCTTAGCATAAGGTAGATTATGCAAGATAAACATACTCTAGTAATTAAAAAGGCCAATAGCACTTGTATAATGATCAAAGTAATAGTCATAACGTAAGCGACTATGACGATTCTAAGAAGAATGGGACTAATGATTTCTACACAGCCGTTCACATTTATTGTTTTGTCATCTGTCATTTCTAAGTGCATGCAAGGTGTCGTAGCGCGCAAGTTGCAGCAGCTAAAAGGGACTCCAAGACCTCTGTAGTTTTCGTCCGAAATTCTGTTTTGTTGCGCCATTTCTTCTCGAGATGCGTAATCTACTTTCTTATCAAAAATATGCATTATAAATGTTATATAAATATATTTTTTCTATTACTTTTTTTTTCTCTCTTATCTCTTTATAGTAAAAAGAAAAACTGTTTACATATGTATATCTTTAAAAAATTTATTCCCAAAAATATAATAAAAATGAAATAATAAATTATAAAATACTTCGCATCACTGTAAATATACATATGCTTATCTGCGAAAATTTTCAATTTAAAAAAAAAATTAAATAACGAGAAAAATATTATTTTAGAGCAGTTTGCGACACAGACAGTGAATCAATAACAAACAGACTGTTTCTTCATCATTGTTTGACGAATTAATAAAAACAGTCTGTTTATTTATCATCAATCGATGATAAATATCGACGAATCTTCTCGAATGTTTTTGATATTTGCAAACAAGGTCGACGTATAATATTGGAAAATTACCTGCCAGTCGAAGAGAAACCAATCAGTATAAGAGGAATGACCGCAACATTGCAACACAAATTGGATCTCGTCGATCGCGAATTTATGTGACGCAGTAGTGGTATACAGATGCATGGAAGCGTTGAAAATATCGATTAAAGTTTCTTGTCTTACACTAATGTGATATCCTATCAAAGCTAATGTCGTTGTGTTCATAGCAATACATGTAATTATCATTATCAAAAGACACTTTAGAACCCGCCTAGTCTTTGAATAAAGATTCGATTTGCGCCTGCAAGAATGCATCCATTATTACAAATTACGCAAAAAAATGTCAAAAGGAGTAATAAACATTGTTGTAATAAAAATATAATTAATTAATATA